TTTATCTTATTTTATAAATGAAGACACTGATGCTTAGAAGACTGAAATAGTCTCCTTAGAAAACCCATAAGAGGATAAATATTAATGTGAACTTTGGAGTCTGACAGAGATGGATCCTATATATGGCTTTTACAACCTACCACCTAGAAATGTTCTGTAGCCTCCCGAACTCCTTATAACTGGGAAACTATCTTTTCAAAGCTTGATATGAAGATAGCCTCCAGTGAGTAGAGCTCAACAACAGTGTAAGTATCTACTTGGCCTCCTAGGAGTTAGATTAAAGATCCCTTTCTGGTCATAGCAATAGGTTAATTGGGTATTCTTATTTCCTCATTTCTCTTGGCCTTTACATCATCATCAATTAATTAAGAATATGAATAATTGTCCTATCTCTTTCATGAGAAATTGACTAATTTGAAAGACTAATTTGCAAACTATCAAGGAGGGTACCAGAACAGTTGCCATTAGCACTGGCTTTGTCTTTGCACCTTTTGCTCTCAAAGAGGAAGTTTTATCTCCAAAACTGGCTTATTGCCCTTATAATAAATCTGAGATTTTTGTACTGCAGATACTATATACAGAGAGACAGATAAGCAGTCTTGTGCTTGAGTTCTCAAGAGCCAACAGTATACATCTCTTCCAGTTCCACATTTAATGAAATCCTACATGTAGATTGAAATACACAACACTGGGAGTTGGTACACCATAGAACAACACTAAATAACCGCATACTTCTCCTTAGTGAACCAATGAGTTTAATTAAAGCAACTTACAGGGGTTTAGGTGAGAGGTTATTTACAGGAGCGTGAAAAATTTTGTAGTGGCTACAACACTGGAGAAAATGTCTCTCACTCTCTTGGTAAGTGTTAACTGCCTATATATCCCCAGAGAAGGGCAACACCACATTAATCTCTTACCCTCTAGCAATAATTAGCTGCCCATATATCTTCAGGAAGAGGTGGGTACCTCATATGCCCCTGTCTACCTCCATGATAGAAAATTAATCGGACAAATCTTATGTAAGTCTCCTGTGAGTAATCACAGCTGCCAAGAGTTCAGTATGACAATGACCATATCATGTCCAGAGTACAGTGTTTCACAACATTCTACACCTTTCTCTGCCTCTTACATTCTTTCCACCCTTCTTTCATACCACTTTTTCAGGCCTGAAGGCAGTGATATACATGGTCCAATGTAGGCCTGAGCATTTAACAGTCACTTTGGCCAGCACTTTGACCAGTTATGAGTCTTTGTAGTAAATGCCACCTAATGTAAAAAGATTCTCTGACCAAAGATTACAGCAGCACTAATCTATGGATGTAAACGTGAACATTTAGAATGCAATTTGACAAGCATATCAACTTTATTTAGCACAACGACAGCAATAGCTTTTGCACTAAGGCCTATGCCATAGTTTGGTTTCTATTACTGTGATAAAACATTGACCAAAAACAACTTGGCAAGCAAAGGGTTTATTTCATCTTACAGCTTATAGTCCATCATTGAAGGAGGCCAAGGCAGGAACTTAAGACAGGAATCTAGAGGCAGGAACTGAAGCAGAGACCATGGAGGAATGGAGGAATGCAACTTACTGGCTTACTTTCCCCTGACTTGCTCCGCTACCCTTCTTATACAAGCTACTCTGGGGGATGGCAATGACCAAAGTGGGATGGGCCCTCCTATATCAACCAACAATCAAGAACCCTCCACACACACACACAGGCCAATCTGATGGAGAAAATTCCTCAATAGAGGCTCTCACTTTCCGTATGTCTCTAGTTTATGTCAAGTTGACAAAAACTAGCCAGGACAACCTGTTCAATTTCCCAGTTCTATGCTGGGCTACTATCTGGGACTCCCTTTGGCCACCCTGGTCAACAACTCAAAAGAAGGTATTTCCTATCTGGCATTGTTGCTTGTTAAGTAGCCTTTAGCTATGCATATGGACTCTTAAGAAATTAAACTGGCCCCTTTAATCTTTGGTTATATTTTCCTTTTGGGGGTTTAAGACCCTACAGTTGGCCCAGATAAACCAATTTATTTTTACTCTTGAGGCCATGTGAGGATCT